GTTTCATACAACTAACTCTTGTTATTAATATTATCAAAAAGTAGTGAATTCTTTGTTTTTCACATTTGTTGTTCCCCACTATGACAAGCATCTGGTAGGGATGAGCTCTTGAAGGCCAAACTATAGTGATAAAAAAATATTCCTATTCACATAAAATGAGTTGGTGGTATAATTCTGTTCTGCAACATTTTAAAAGATCAAAGTACACAAAACTTGGGCAACTGTTGCAATAATATATTAATGAAAATTCTGTATTTAAACAAGTAGAAACTGAACATAAACATTTACAAACCAAGCCAAAATGTCATTGTTATATTCTAAGCTTCAAACTATATGAGCCCCACCATAACAGGAAAAAAAAAAAAGAATTAGCATGTCTAGACTAAAGAATCTCAAGCTTCTAAGATATTTCGTCCTCACATGCCTCTTTATTCTTCACCTCCATACGAAACCACCTCCTAAAATTCACTTCCAACCTGAAAAGAAACAGAGACAGAAGTCTGGATTCAAGCTAATGAGAATGGCTTATATAAACTACTACTTTTATAACTTGTTGAAGTCCTGATTCAATAACTACTAACATGTTGAGCAAAAAAAAAAACACCCTTATAAAATTTGTTGCAGACCTGATATTAAAACAGCTAATAAAATGGGCACCTTAGTTCATTGCATTGTAGGAAAACCCCCGAGAAGATTTAAGGTAACTGATCTATCCCCTATGTAAAATAACAAGCACACAACAATTGGTGGTGACCTATAAAACAACACAACAAAATATAACATAAATTGTATCATTCATACCTAAATTAGCACGGTTGGAGTTTTGAATTTGAGATAATGCTATTGTTCTGGTCTTTCCTTGCCCACAGTTTTCAACAAAACTCTTTATTCTCTTATTTGTTCCCCCTTTCGATCGTTTTTTTGGGGGATTCATGACAGCCTTCATTCCCTCAGAGGTACAAATTTTCTCACTTTCAACAAAACCGATACCAACATTGTTGCCATGGCTAAGCTTATCCTTATAGCTTTTTATTTTCTCATATGCTTCATCAAGTAACTCTTCAAAAATTTCAACAGCCCTTTCATCAAACATAGCCATATTCATGACATTGCTTGCTTTGTGCATTAGTTTACTAAATATGAGTGTCTTAGACTCCTTCACATCACCTTTCATGGATGAAATTTTGTTATCATGAATGTGAATATCTTTTTCATTCTTTGTCCACCTTTTCAATATATACTTCTCTGGAATCCTACTATCATTGTCACTCACATTCAATACTCTCAATACATGACAGCAAAGTAAACCCAAAGTCTCAAATTTTTTGCAACTACAACCAATATCAAATTTGGAAATATCAAACAAAACAGTGTGTACTTTTGAGGACCTTTCCTTCTTCAATTTAAAGCAATTAATTATGCCATCAGGAACATGCTCAATTATCTTTTCCGTCACACTTTTGTCAAATTCTGCCTGAAACATGGAAAATAATTTGCATGTATATACCTCAGCTGCATGCATCATGATTCCACTAGGTATAAGAACATGAGGTCTTCCATATATACCTCAAAAATCTTCAGCATTTTCAGCTTCACGCATTTTTTCAGCATTTCTCTCATAATGCTTAAAGAATTCAATCAAAGTCAAGGTCTTACATGACATGCTTTGAAAGACATTATTAGCACTTTCACTTCTTTGGGTAGACTTCATATTCGCAGAAAAAATATCATGATTGAACACAGGAGACCGTTTTCTGCGATTTTCATAAAGCCTTGCAAGCCAGCTATTACCCTGTAGACCCCACTCTTCAATCATTACTCTCCAATTATGCTCAAACTCCTCCTCAGTTTCATAACCGCCAAAGAACTTATAAAAATGTTTTTTGAATTCAGGCTTACCATAAAGATGTGGAATATTGGTGGCGGCATTTTTTTGTATGTGCCAAGTACATAACCGATGACATGAATCAGAGAAAACATGGCCAATAGCATGATTATGATCATCATTGAAACGAATAACTTCCCAAATACCATTTTCTACCTTAAATGTCATAAAAGCCTCACAGCCAGTCCTAGTTTCTAGACGATCAATCTTTTTCTCTTCAAAAGGATCACAATCACGAAAACCTTGTTTTGAATAAACAAAAGTTCTTCCACAAACCTCTTTAGTTCCATACTTATACCGCATTTGGCCACGACGAATACTAAAACCTTTATGCAATGCATATTCATTATAGAGATCGTATGCTTTTTTCTCACTATGCACTATCATCCGAGGTTTTAAACAGAGCTCACTATCACTACGTTTGATTACTGTTCCTTGGACTTCTTCTTTTTCTTGTTCATTATGATTTTCACAAGACTCTTCATAGTTCAAATCAATAAGTGCGTGGTTCAAATCAATGACTGCAAAGAAATGAGCATAAAATATTCAATTACATATCATAATTTCATTAATGATTGCACAGAATATATTTTAGAATAATGTACTAATATTGACTAATATACAACTAATGCTTTCTGAGATTAATCTAGCATTAATATCTTATCACAATTAGCGATATCAGAATATGAGCAACAATAAGAAGACCAAGTTGATGAATCAAATAGGCATATCAAAAACATGTTTTTAGCGGCAAAAAAAGTTTTAGACCATTTCGATGAAAAATCCAAAAACAATTCTGGAGCAGTAAAATCAATATGAGGACGAGGCATACCTTCATTAGATTTGGAGTTCTTATCTGCTTCTTTTGAAGATCCCATTAGCTGGATGCAATATTAAGGGAAAAAAATATAATTTCGGAAGAGTTATCAAGTTCTGTATAATGGAGAAGAACTCTAATCCAGATTAAAAAAAGAAGATGAACTTTTATCCAAATAAATTTGCGGGAAATTGTTTTCCCGCTCTTGTCTTGATTGATAGCCATAGCTTCTCCTATTCGGCCGGCAGCGATCGTGGGAGGAAGACGCAAATCGTGGAGCGGAAAATTTGCAGCTGATTTTAATTTAATTTGGGGCATCGACGGGGGAAATTGAAAAAAAAGGAAAAGAATATAAAGGTTGAAAATTATGCACCACGCCTCTTATTTTTAGTGGGTTGCTGCACCACGTAACACTGTCGATGTGGTGCAGCGGCTTCACCAAATAATTTCTCTGCGAAGTGATTATATCCAATGCATATATGTAGTTCAATGCTGAGATATTGAAAATACCATGTGGTACATATGGAGCCATTTCAGGCCACGTATGACGCTGCATAAAAACTCCGGTTCCTGGAGGTTACTACTATATATCTTTGGCATTGCACATATCAATTTCAATGCTTGAATCTTAGGATACTCAAAACTGCTAAAAAAAGTTGTCTGGGATGCTAAAATCAAATGGAGAGCCTAGCTAGGTATTATGAAATACTACATCATGTCCTAGTTATAAGATAAAAATCAACAGTAAAATTATTGTTAACTTATGCCTTTTAATCAGGACCTAGATACAGTAGAACGTCGGTAAATTAATAATCGATAAATTAACAACTTCTAGTAATTAATAATTTTCTCCGGTCCCAACTTGGGACTAGTACAAAAATTGAAAAAATCTATAAAATGATAAGATAATAATGTTTCAGAAAATGCCCTATCGATCTATAGGTCCCAACAATATCATAAATTAATAAATACCATAAATGCAAAAAATAATAATAATTATAATTATATATATGTAGTAAAATATTAACTATTGATACTTGTTTTTTAGTCCCTCAAGATAATATGAACTATATATGAATTTTTAGTATTGAGAAGAATTTTAATACTTGATTGATTTGGATGCAAAGACAATGCAAGTTAAGTAAGTTAGTGAAAGTGCTTTTTTCCTAATACAAATTCTTTAAATTAATAACTTATTAATTTATCGATTATTTAATAATTTTTTAAATTAATAAATTTTGGTGGTTCCAACACTATTAATTTATAGAAGTTCTACTGGTAGGTTGATTAACGAACACCTGGTTGAATTCTATGAATTAATACTTAATTATAAATTCATTTCCCTTGTTCTTTGAGGGGCCATCCGAATTAGTGGATGCTGCCAAGGGGGTGACAAGACTGGTAGCTGTTATAAGATTAAAACTGTTAAAAAAAAAAAAAAAAAAAAACTAGCTTTTGCAGATTGTGTGTTTCACTGTAAAACTATTCCATGGTAGTTTCCATGTAAGATGAAAAAGATTAGAACTCGAAAATGGACATTTTGAGAACTCTGCAATTGCTTAAGAATTATTTGTGATTGAAATGTTTTGAACGTTGAATGCTAAACATTCTCTGAAAAGTTCTACAAAAATAATGTAAATAATGTAATTGATATTTGTTACTTTCAGATTAAAAAACTCCGATTAAGTCATAAACTAATCGGACTTTTTAGTTCTACTGAAAAAGCAACAACTGAAAGTAATCATAAAACAAAAAACACACCAACTAGACTCAAAAGCCTGCCACAGCCTGTTAGGCAACACTACTTGAATAAATTCTCCACACACTCTCAAGATCAAATCCAAAACTCTCTTCATGAAAAAGTAGCTTAAGAATGAATTTTCAGCTCTTCCAACTTTCAATCATCCAGTGGAAGGGATTCTTTCAGCCTGAAGAACGAAAGAGATAGATCATGTGATAAATCTGCGCAAAAACAATTTATTCCTAACATTAAATTAAAAAAGTTCCACATTAAAGCATGGACAAATGAACAACCCATGTAAATCATAATCTCCTGCCTATGGTTTTGGTTTTCACAAACAAATGAAGACACTAAACACAATTAGAATTAGAGCGGCAGTTAGGACATATTTCAACTGACCTTTATGTTGAATCCTCTTGTGGCTTTTTCCAGGAAATTTAACCAATTTATCCACGGACACCCCCGAGAGCCCCGGCGCCACGTGCCGGTCCTGATCTCGATCCATCCTTCTTATTCACTTCCCCTGGACCAGAAATTTTTGATAAATCCTTTGATTGCTACTCAGAATCATCATCCTCTTCATAAACTACCTCGTCCTCCTCCTCCTCCTCGTCGGGCTCATCATCGGTCGGGTCGTCGAGATCGAAATCATCAACCTCGACCGGATAACGCAAGATCCCTCCAATCCCTCCAAAACCCCGAACAAACTGAGACCCTTCTGTTGATTTGTTGGTGACAAACTCCAGACTGCACCCGAATTGGCCGTAATTATCAGCCAGCCACTCCAGCAACAAGGTCCGATCCATCACTTCCAAATCCAAACCTGAATTCGGATCCCTGAAATTCTCCTGATTCGCTTCCTGATCTTTGCTCAAGTGCTTGACTATGATGTCTTTGGTCGCCGAAATCTTCAGTTCGTATCTGACGCAATCGAGTTCCTCCCACACGATCAGAACCTCAACTGCCCCCATCTCCAGCGCTTTCAAAGTGTGCTCCACCCCGTTAACAAACTTCCCAGTGTCCCGACTAATCTCGTCGAAATATTTTTCAATCAACCGCTGCTCCTGCAAGAATTTCACGTTCAAAAGGAGCTCGGATGAGAGCCTGATCGCCTGGTTAAAACCATTTTCTCCTCCATAGGCCGTGTCCACTATATTCAAAACTCTCGACGAAAACCTGGACTTAAACACGACTGCCTGAGCGAGCTCGTTCTTAAAATCGCCTGTTCCGGCAAGAATCAGCCCCCTTACATTGCATTGGTTTGTTGTGTCACTTATAAAGTGCTTAATCGAAAGCTCAACAACTTTTGTTAGATAGTTGTGCCGCTTCTCATCCCGAATATGGCTAAATCGAGAGGCGGATTGGCCGCCTCTTCGGTGCTTATTAGGCAATTCAACATGGAACTGGTGAAGGATATCTCTCGAGTTTCCACTTAAGGTCCCAAACAATGTACCGTTACCATCCATAACGATAAACCCGTACACTTCGTCACGTTCTAAAAGCTCATTCATCTCATCCGTACGGAACTTGGAGCCGCAAACATAGTGGAAAGCGTTGATCGGCCTGAAGGGTTCCAAGTGCCTGATGAACTTCTTGTCGTTAATCGTGCCGGCATAAATCACCAGCCCGTTCGTGGGTACCCGGTTGTAGAGTTTCAGGCGTTGCTGGGCGGAGGTCAGGGCGGTCTGGACGGAATGGCGGTTCACCCGGCTCTTGATGTTGGATGCTTTGCCTACTTCTTCAGCGAGCTTCTTGCTCGCGTGGGAGATTTGATAGCCCGGGGGAATGATCAGGGAAATCATACTGGTTCCGTTGCCGCGAGCCGAATCCAGCTCTTTTATCAGCCTTTTCATCTTCCATGTCTCGATGTTCTCATCCGGTTGATGAGATTCCGCCATTGTAAATAGGGTGGATGTACCTAATGAATCTGGAACGACAAAAAACGAACAAATTAAAGATTAGAAGAGACGGAATTCTTCAATTTAGAAAATGGAGTTAGACATACATAGTCACTATTGTGAGGGTAAGGATGGACACTACTCTATATGAAGTCGTAGAAAAACTATTTATTTAGGGATTAAAAGAGGGAAAAATACCTACGGCAAACACACACCGACAAACTTTTCCAGAATCCATAGATATATATTAATCAACATATATCATAATCACAAAAAATAACTAACTAATTAAGGTTACAGACACGGAATTGTATATGAAGTCTGTAATTCAGAAAATTAGTCACTATTGTACTGGCAAGGATGGACACCCTAAAAGAGGAAAAATTTAGGGTTTATAAGAAGAACAACGCAAAGTTTTCTATAACACATCGACAAAGTTTTCCAGAATCAACAGATATATATATATATATATATGTTAATCAATGTATATCATAAGGTACGATTTCACACCGAAGTTTTTCATACTCGAACAAATTTAAATCAAGATTTAAGCCAATTGAGAGAGAAAAATAAAGATAAAAAAGAAAAGGGCTTTGAGACATAACGTACCTCCTTTGCTGCTTGAGACGGAATAACGTGTCTAAAAAAGAGAAGAACGGGGCTTTAAATACTATTTTAAGTCGGCTGGTTGAAGATAGGAATCCCTGATTTTTTTTATTTCCTTTTTTTCTTAAGTTTTCCTATTTATTTTCTAGATTTCTTTTTCTTTTTTTTTCCAGGACGAGGTATGCTTCTATCATCTCGGTACAGGAAAGGGAAGAAACGGAGAAAAATATTATAAAAAGAAAAAAAATTAGATACCCCAATTAAGTTACTTACGTACGTGATCATGTTAGGGTAAAATAATTACGAAAAAGACGTAATAATAATAATAATAATAATAATAATAATAATAATAATAATAATAATAATAATAATAATAGTTTTAATAAAAGTTCTACATACCCAAGCTCTATCTTATTAAATTATAAATATATGCCTTCCAAATCCAAATCAAATAGTATCTTTTCGAATAAATTTAGAATAAATTTAGATATCTTAACACACAGAAAATTTTTTTTCCCCATTAAGAACTACTCACTCCGTTCCATAATTATTGTCCTACCCAAAATATTTTGTCCCAAAATTATTGTCCAATTTGACTTTTTATGGATCAAGTTATACATTTGTCCTTGGTAAAAAACATTATTTATAAAATCTTAGTGGTTAAACAATTAGTTATGTAGGGGTATATCCGATTGTTTAAGGTAAAATATAATTAAGTTTGACCAAAAATAAAATTTTTCATTTTAGTAAAACTGGACAATAATTATGGGACGGAGGGAGTATAACTAAGTAAGTTATCACGTGGTTGTTGCATACTTGTATTACAAAATGAAATGTCTAGTATGTATGTGTAATATAATAATAAATTAAAATTTTTTAAACAAAGAAAAAAGATAAATAAGTATACCCTTCAAATTTTTTATTTCAGTGTTTTTAAGCAGCTTTAATTTTTTTTATTGATTTTATAATATAAAAGAAAAAGCAATTAGTGAATGAAATTAACTTACCCTGACAGAAATTATTGTGAACGGCTGTTGACTATCGTTCACTGAATGAAGAAGTCTAAAAATATATTCATTGAAGAAAAAAAATTAGGGTCAGACCAAATCCTTGCTTGAGTTGATTGAAAAAAATCACTAAAAACTGTGAGTGATAGCTTAATTATAACATTTGGATTTTGGTCGCAATCGAAACTCTTACAGGAACCACCGAACCAACAATTTTACTTGTTGTTGGTATTTCCATACCATTATTACTAGAGGGACAAAAAGAACAACTTCAAGGGTGAATAATTTTGAAGAGCTAAAATATGTTATAAATCAAATTCTAAAATTTTTTAGAATCCAATTTGTTATAAGAATTGGTTTTTTGACTGTTTGCCCGACTTATTCTAGGTTCAATTTCTAGTGGGTTTTCTCTTCTTCTATCTATAAATAAAGCGTCCCTGTAAAATTAAATTTCACAAACTCTCCTTTCTTCTCCCTATATAGAATTCCACTCCTCCACGTATCCTAAACTTCTTGCATCCACATACAGTATAATGAACGATCAACGCTGGAAATGTTACAGAACGCGACTTGCACGTTGTCGAATTTGTGTCGGGGAAAACCACGGCCTGATTTTGAGAAGACAAAACTTGCCCTTCCTTACTTGGCTCGTCTTGTACATTCAAACGATAAAGAAGTTTTGACAGATACTTGTTGGGCGCTTTCGTATCTCTCTGAGGGTTCTCATGACAATATCCAAGCTGTTATCGATGCAGGCGTTTGCCCTCGTCTTGTTGAGCTTCTCCTTTGCGGTAATACCTCGATTATGTTTCTGGCATTGCGTACAATTGGTAACATTGTCACTGGTGACTGTATGCAGACTCAGGTTATTGTTGACATCCATCAGGCCCTTCCTAGTATCTTGAAGTTGTTGGCATTGTATCCTAATAACAAGAGTATAAAGAAAGAAGCCTGTTGGGCCATCTCGAATATCACCGCAGGCAGCGAGGAGAAGATTCAGGCCGTGATTCGTGCTGGTTTTATCGGTCCTCTTGCTCAGTTGTGTTGAAATGGTGAGATGGAGGTAAAGAAGGAAGCTGTTTGGGCTATTGCTAATGTTACATCAGGTGGGAATCACGACCAAATTGAGGACTTGGTGAGCCAAGGTTGCATACAGCCATTGTGTGATCTTCTCGCCTGTTCCGACCTTGGAATAATCACTGTGTGCCTGAATGCACTGTAACGGATTTTGATGGTTGGTGAAGACGCCAAAAATCGTGGTAACACGAGAGAAGTAAATGTCTGTGCTCAGATAATTAATGAAGCTGAAGGTTTGAAAAAGATTGAAAACCTCCTAAACCACGATAACCAGAAAATATATCAAAAGGCAATGAATATTCTTGAAACATATTTGTTATATGAGGAGGATGATGTGCTAGGGCCGGGACCATTTTGGGATGAATATGAAAGCATGTAAAATAAAACAACTTTCATCTTCTTTGTCTTTTTAGTGGTACTATCTAATTAAACTTCTTTTTGATGAGTATATTTAACTAAATAGTTAGCAAAAAGGTTATGTAAGGGTCAGTAGAGTTCAAAGTTCATGATCTAGCTTCACTGTACAAGGCTACAAAGCTACCCTTCCAGTAGTAAATTACTATTAATTAGTATTATTACCAGTCTCCCTTTGCATCTATTGTAGTGTGTATATCCTCTTATGATTGTTGGAGAAGAGAAGCAATCTTCTATATTGATTTATTCAGGTTCGATTGTGAGTTCTCGAGTCGAATTATAGTAACAATTAGATTCAATGTCAAAGAGTTCAATTGTTGCAGCATGTAACGTAACTTACAAATCCATCTGATCTAGGAACGTAAAGTTAGATTCGAATCCTTGTCGAGCTGGACGTTGACTAGAACTCATAAAGTATCAGTTGCAATGAGCTGAGGCTGGGAACATGCTCTCATAATCAAAAGAGACTAATTGTTGTAACTTTTTCTAGTTAAAAACTGGGTTCTTGAAGTTACTTAAAGTCTTAAACTAGATAAATATGATGGGTTCATTTTGTTATTGAGCTTTTTTTTTTTCCTTAACGTTGTTGTAAATTTGATTACATTATAATGTCCGAGGAGACTGGATACCAAAGGAGTATTGGGATGAAATGCAGGGTGAAATTTGAGAGCTTGTATAACTCCTACTGAAACATTAAGGAACGCAAAACTGGACGACAAGATGGTCGGAATTACAGATTCTTCGATAAAATTGAGGCTGTTTTTCAATGTGGTTTTCGAGCTTGGATACAATGGTCTTAACTAAGCCAGCACAATGATGAGGAGTCAAGCTTGTCCATCTTTTCATAAATTTCGACTTTTGTCCTTGTCTCCAAGCTAGATTTGTGAAATTTGCTCACCATTAATAGTACTATTAGTTTTTTGCCATGTACCATTCATCATACTACTAATCTAGAAACAAGAAAAAATAAATCTATTTCTTGGAACACGAACAGTTTAGTAAGGCAAGCATAACACATAGGGAGAAAAGGGAGCCCAGACTATGGAAGAGCCTGGAAAGCCAGGTCATTTTTTGGAAATGTAAGGAATAAACCTTAGATTGGCCCCATATATTTGACCCAATTAACATTTTCGTCCCGTACATTAACATTTGAATAGATTGGTCCCAAATATTTATTTTCGTAACTTTTTTGGTCCCAATTCACTATTTCGGGACCATTTCCGTACGGCCGACAGATGTCCACATAGTATTGAGGGTTATTTTTGTCTTTTTATATAATAAATCTTAATTTCCATTAAATTCGAAAAATCTTAATGTTAAAATATTCATATTAAATATTAAAATATTATTAAAAATCAAAATTAAAAAATATTTTGAAAATTTGTCATTTCCCTCCAGCCTTTGTACAAAGTTAAATTTTTTTACTAATTACTTTGTAAAATGGTGCAGTAGCCTTTGTAGAATTAACTTTGTTTTTTAATATCAAAAGGCGAACATGGACAATTATTAATATTCTCTGAATATTTCACCTTCTTATTATAAAACATAATTTTTTTCTCCTGCAAAAAATGTTTCTTTCTTTCTCTCTTCTTCCCTTCTCTTACCCATCTCGTTGCCCCCTCCACCCGCCGCCACCCCAAGCACGACTACAACACCACCGTTGCCAACCGTCACCATCCAAAAAATAATACTGTAATAATAATAATTTGCACCACTTTTTTTTTTTTGCTTTCCTATTCCCCTTTTTACCATAAAATCATTCTTCTTAATCATTCTATTTTGCTCAAGTTTAGAATATTTACCCTACCCACCTTGCCATCCCCATATCTGACTTCCGGCCAAAAACAAAAAAATTTCAATTGAGAAAAAAATCGTTATATGAGAATCTAATTTCATAGAACAAAAGAGTATTTGTACACAATTCAATTCAAAATGACACCTTAGCTGATTGGAGTTTGCAGATTATTGAAACTAAAAACAATTGCCGCCTTCATCGTATTCGTCATTTCTCATCTTCAGTTCTTAGTGAGAAGCGATGCTGAAGGTGAGCGGCGGAGGAATTGATGGTGTGGCCGTGAGGAGGAAAGGATGGTGCAGTAGCCCGTGATAAGTGAGAGGGGATTAGTTTAGGATGATGATGAAGTTAACGGGGAGATGTGTGAAGAAAGTGATGGGTTGTTGTGTGTTTAGTTCTTTTTTTTTTTTCTTTTTTTTGGCTCTTAAAACTGGGTTTTAAAAATCGAATTAGAAAAATTTATAAATATGAGAAAAATTCTTCCTGAAAATAAGTTTGAATAAATTATATCTCAATGGTAACAACAATAATGAACTACTGTTTAATTCCTCATTTATTAAACGTTTGGTATTGAAGATAACTAAAATTAGGTAAAGTGTATTTTTAAATAGAGTTTTATAGGATAAAAAGTAATTATTAAAAAAATTTAAGTTTGTATAAAGGGTAGAGGAAAATGACAAATAATTTTCAAAATATTTTTAAATATTTAATAATATTTTAATAATCAAATCTGAATATTGTAATATTAAATTATTTTGAATTTAATGGAAATTAAGATTTATATAAAAGACAAAAATAACCCTCGATACTATGTGGACAGCTGCCAGCAGAACGGAAAAGGTGCTGGAATAATGAAATGAGACAAAAAAAAGTTTCGGACATAAATGTTTGGACCAATCCCTTCAAATGTTATTGTACGGGACGAAAATGTTAATTGGACCAAATGTATGGGACCAATATGAGAGTTTACTCGAAATGTAAGGAACGAACGAAATTATTAGATCAGACCCTCTGGAGTAATTTTGATCACATAAGCAACAATGACAATTCAATTCAGTAGCTAGTTGCATTTCATAGGGTGTCAATTTTCAACATGATGACACGATTTACAGAAACACTCTGATACGACATGACATGATTGACTCTATTTGAGTTTTAGTTACATTTCTGCTCTAAAAAATCTAATTAATCATGTGGAGTACATAGCACGAAATTGACCCGGCTACAAAATTTTGAAAATCATAAACTGTTACGACTTCTTGGTAGTTGAAGTATGTTGTTTGTGGAGTAATTCTTGAAAATCATTCTATCCATGCATTAATCTAATGGTCGCCATCTTTCCCTTGGGGGTTCAAATGCCAGATCACAATTCCTAGGGTATAATTAAGTATTGTATTTAATGGTTGGTTTATGACGGTTTAGATGGCTACAATACGCCATATTTCAAAATATTATGAATTTGTGGTTAAGTAGTTGACTGTTTGCCATTAGTGCTAGGGAATAGATCTTGGTACTTCCAAACCTTACCCGACTCACAAGATACAGATAAAATTTCAGATATAGCACCGAATACCTTAATTTGTTTGATTCCCTTCATGTTTTCATGTATATGGATCATCATATTATTAACTTGTTAAAGAAAAAACAGACAAACAAACAAATTCGAATTGCCCCTATATGAAAACTTGAAATCTCAAACTGCATTTTGTTATTCATTCTTATTATCCCACCTTACCCTACCCACCATGGATAGATGATCATCTGATTAATTAAATTTATTTGACCATTGAATACAGTAGCTCGAATTAAATGAAGTTTCTGGTTCTATTTTGATTATTCGGCGAAAACAATTATAATTACAAAAGGAAAACAAAAACAAAAGAAATAATTATCTTACACAACTCGTCCCTACGAGGAGGAGAGCAGCTAGATTATACGGTTCCAGAAAGATGTAAATCATCCAGGGGAAGTCACTTGTAGAGTATGTAAAATGTCCAACGCGGAAATAAAAGTTAAGTTGTATCTTTTTATACTTTTTTGAAAAAGAAATATCTTCAATGTTCTTTTAAATTTTTAAAAAATTTTGTACCAGAAAAAAAAAATCAAAATTTTGAGATGTCTGAGATTAAAAAAAAGTTTAACCAAAAGTTTCTTGTTGGAGAGTTTTATCTCCCAAAAAGGACATGCTCGACTTGAATGGATGAATGAGAGCATTAGATTTGGTCTCCGGATGCGTAATACACTGAAAAAAAAAAAAAAAACCAAGTCTATTGTGCAAGTTAAGATCAAATTGAGACATATCATCTAAAGATATATATGTTCCTGATTCATCCAAAAAAAAAAAAAGAATAACATGATCCTATAAATTCTTAACAATATGGTCCTTTGGACTCAAAATATCTACTTATGCGTCAAAAGGTGCAAGATTACATAGAATGGACATTTAAATTTTATTATTATTATCAATTTATGAAGAATGGTGTTTTGCTCAAAAAAGTAATAATGTCTAGGGGACTAATGTTATAAAAGAACATAATTATAGTCAAACAAGGAATCAAATCCGTAGGGCACAAAAGATTCAGATCCGCATAGGAATCCCTCTTCAAACGTTTTCTCAATATAATGAAGAAAAATATATTCCCTCTTTCAGATTTCTGGAGTACATATTGTCGACCAATTAAGAAAACAAAACTATATTTTCTTTTTCTTCTGAACCTTGAGGTTTATGATGAGGGACATGGAAGGTATAAAAGGATCCAATT